GGAAAAATTCATTCTATAAGCATTTTGCCCATCGCCACCCCTGTGTAATGTTTACAAAACACTTTCATCTAACACAAATTTGCATTTTACCCATTTTCCAACGTTGAAAGGGGGAATTGAGTTGCTGACACATGTATTGTAGGTATTACGGTTACGATTTCATGTTTTGGGCATTTTACAACACAATTTATCCACGGTTGTAGATGTTTACAGTGTGTCACACAAACTTGCCCCTGCTAAATGTGCGGCGAATGGGGCGTTCAGTTCTAAATAGAAACACAAAGAATAAGCCATCGTGGTTCACGTTCTCTAAAAATAACTTGTAAATTGGTTATTTCACACGATTGGTTACTAGAGGGCGGCTACGAAATGTACAAAGGTGCATTAAATGCAAGAAATAAAAATGACCGGAATTCTAGAATTTGACAATTTTATTAGTAGTAGAAATTTTTAATGAATTTTCAATTATTTCTTTCCCTGTATTTTGCTATTTAAATTTGTAATTGTAGTTGTTTGGTAGATTTTAAGGAGCACAACGAGAACTACTGGTTTTTCCCAGTAATTGTGTTATCCAGTAAAGTCATTATTATCATTATTAGATCCACTGTTCTGCTCACTAAGCTTTCTGTTTGGCATTATTAACTCTTTCCGTTACCGTCGTGTTTTGCACAAGGTACCTATTAGTGGGGAGGGGGGGGGGGGAATAGGGGGTCAGAAACTCCCGCCTCCCGTAGTTCTCCTCCCTTTATTCTCCCAGGCTTTCCCCCTGTCTCCCACCCACCTATTACTTCGCACCGGCGCTTCCTTGTATAGAGCGGATGCGCCCTCAGTACAAGCGGCAGGGATAGCTAACTGTCCTGACCAAAACTACTCAATAATAAACTTTGTCTTTGTAGCCAACAAAAGGGAAAAGCGATGTTTAACTTGTTTTGGCCTCTTCCAAAATCACTTAACACCAGAATAACACAACTGTCATATTACTAGGGCGACCACGTTTTTGGCGCCAAATTTAAAACTTAGCGGCATCAAATGTTCCACGTTCTGTCGTGATTTCTGAGATTTAAAATCTCTTTTCGCGGTCGCCTTGGAGCTGGTCAGAAGTTATGCTGTTGTGACTCCAGGAAGTCCCAATTGCTATTCAGGGGGTCCGAAACAAGGCTTAAATCGAATGACAACTGATCACTTACTACTAATCCACTTCCAGTTTAATTTGTAATGTTTGGGTAGCGAACTTTTGGATTCAAATATTGACAGATTAGTAATGTAGGTCTGCAATATTAGAAACAACGTTTTGCTTTCGTGAGACTAAAGTAAACTATTCACCAACTGAGTGGTTATCACGTTACTCCTGAATCATTAGGCACTTACACATTGTTTGTTGATGGAAGACATGTTAGTTCCCTTTTGCACGATAAGATAAGAACATTTTTATTGCGGATCGGCACACAGTTTAATTGGTCGCATCAATATCTTAAATCCTTTTTAAATTGTTTAAATACCACGCCATGCTAAACCACAAAATAAACAAAGGAAGCTTTAGCTGTAAGCTTGAATGGAACAATATTTACTCAATGACAGGGATTACTGTCAATTTCCATGGAAAGCATTTAACTGCACGTCACTCATGATTGGGATTTCAGTCTTCTCACACGAGCCCATATCATGCACAGTTTCCTAAGTGTTTTTATTCTCGTTATGATCTGTTAAGACGTGACTTCAGGCCACCGCCGGCGAAAGATTCGTAGAAGATTTGAAACAAGGTACAATTCTATTACCATTGACTTATTTTGGCTAACAGCAAAGAAACTTTATCATTGTTAGTTTAAGCGAATCGGAAGGTAATCTGTGGGCTATTTATGTAGCACTGAACTTCAGTGGCGGCTTCGTCGCCCGCACGATCTTGACAACCCAATCTGTTATTTTTTAATGGTTACTTCATACTTTTTGAACAATAGACAGAGTTTTCGTTACAAAAGTATTATTCTTGTACCCTAAATTGGAGGGATAATTCGAAGTATTCAAAAAAATAGGTAAAACACGAGCTGATGTTTCAACCCAGCTTTAGTAATGTGAACTATCAGAGGCTTGTTGATATTTCGTGAGAGTAACCACGGAACGATCGACCTGTGTTGCGTGTGATCCGAACCAATTATTAGATTAAAAAAAGATTCCCAAGAAATATGGTCCGACTGTTGTAGCTTGGAGAAAGGGCCTGTGAAAATTTCAGTCAATTTTTTCAATGGTAGCTTCATATTCTGGATGTTAGACGGTTACAGAAGAGCGAACAACCGCAGCCCCTTTACCAACTAGCTTTGACTTAATTTATTTAGTATAATCACTGTTACAAAGACTTAAGGTGGTTTTCCCACTCGATACAAACAATCTTTGTATTGACTGTTAAACTGACCTTTCAGAAGATTACGTCAAGTTACTGGAAGGCCAGACCACCAGTTTCAACAGGGAGCAAAGGAGAGGTTTGTTCCTTGACTTCATCATTAGCCCAGAAAGTCACAAAGAACTCATTTTCACTAATGGCTGCCAATAGCGGCTTTGCACGTTGTCGTCATTTGACTGCAACTACCAGAATTCCTTTCGTTTCCTCTTTATTATTTAAATTTTGAAGGTTTACCCTAATCAGCATAAGAAACAGAAAAAGTGAAAGATTCTGGTGTAGTCAAATGACGCCATCATGCAAATCGCCTATTAATAATAATAATAATAATAATAATAATAATAATAATAACATTTCGGGCAGTATATCCACAGGGTGGCTCTTCGCCTGCCCGATGCTAACTAAATTTACAATTAAAAATTATTTTGCATGCATTTAAATTAACCTCATTGGACTCGTGTGAGAGTAAGACTTGTGTTAAATTGTCAGCTCAAAAACCAGGTTAGTGAAGCTAATTTTAAGAAAAGCGTTCTATCTGTTATTATATTGTAAGCCAACAACTCAGTTGACCTCTCTCTCTCGATGTGCATGTGAACATCATCCGGTAAGACTGTGGATTCCAAAATAGTTGGATTGCAAAATTCCACTACTTCTGTCCAACTTGTCACTTTCGTCAAGCCTCGAAATGTTTATCAATCAGCTACGTTCAATATTCTACAAAACACCGTGCTTCGGTGGCTATTGTCTAAATTTGGTAAATAAATTGTATAATTGCTTAATTGGATTCTAGGTTAACAACATCACCTCAAATACTGTATTTTCTTGATTAAACTTCGAGTCCCTGATAAATAAGCTGAAGACTAACATGAATCGGCTGCAGGAGTCTCTGTTAACAGACCATCTACTTTATTTTAAATTAAATTTTTAATAAGATCTTCGCGGACGCGCGAAAAAACAAAAACAAAAACAAAAACAAAAACAAAAACAAAAACAAAAACAAAAACAAAAACA